AGCTTGTTTAACTGGATGGACGTTAATGATCCAATTGTTATTTGGGTCTCATATTCCATTTACTGTATTCCTGTTTCTCCTAATCATCATTGTCAAATGAAAGAATTGTGTTTTTGTCTACACACTGTAGTCATTTATTTCTTCATTTTTGGGTCTAAAATAGTTCTTTTTCTAGAATTTTATTTAATCTTTTCTTAATGGCAGCCTCCTTTTCTAGAATCATGTTATGTGGGTCCTGTTGTCTTTCTTGTTGTGTTTTAAATAAGTCTTCAATTAAAGCTTGTTTCTGAACAAAGATATTTCTGAATATTTACTTATTCCATTGTTTTAATTCCATTTCTTTTGTTTTTTTTTTTTTTTGGAAAATTTGACCCCATGTGAGCCTGTAGCATTGGTGTTTCATGCATTTCTTGTTACATCCTCAACACTTTGCTCTTGCATCCACAATTGTTTAAATCTAAAGGGCTTTAGGCCCCCAACTTATTTTATTATCAATGTAAAATATAAGAGGGGCATGATCTGAGCTAAAAAAAAAGTTAAGTTTGTGAGTTGGGCTCTTGGATATATCATTCTCCATTGTTCATTTGTTAGAACCCAGTTGAGCTTTTCATATAAGCTCCCTATCCTCCATGTAAAGTGGTTGCCTTTTGCTTCTAAATCAACAAGATTACACATGTTTATCATATAATTAAAGTTGTTCATTTGGGTCCTGCTTATAATTCCTTTATTTTTGTTTTCTTGGGATCTATAAGAGTTACAATCCTCAATTAGGCACCATGGACCTTGAATTTGGTCACTAATTTCACTGAATCCAATCCCATAGAACTGGTTGTTCGACTCTATTTAGTGGGTCAGTGGGTCTTACAAAAAGTGATAAACCAATGATAGGGATAGTGTGTGAATCACCCATTTACAAGGGGGTGACATTAGGTGGATCAAAAATTTGAAATTGGTTGTCCATCTCTTTGAGCAAATGTCAAAATTTAAAGATAAATTTTGATAAGAATTGCATTGTGGGGATGAATATGGGAGAGATAGAGAGAGATCTCAAAAAGTTCAAAAATCCTAAGTTGTGTGGTGTCGCAATGGCCTATGAAAGAAGAAAATTCAAGTGGGTTACACAAAGCATGGAACTTAAGCTGCAGTGGGTAAAAAGAAGTGCAAATTTTTTTGCTGATGCTTTAGTGAAACAAGGGGTGGGAAGGGATAAACTTTTCTAGGCTGTGTTGTAGCTAGAGTAATCAGTTTTCATCTCAGAGAGAATTAAGAGAGTTCACCTCTCTCCGTGGTGTTCCTTTGTAACTAACATTTTTTATCTTAATGAAAATTTTCTGCTATTGATCAAAAAACAGAGAGAGAGAGAGAGAGAGAGAGAGAGAGAGAGAGAGAGATTTAGGGTTCTTGGTGAGCTGAATTACATTTGCCAAGAGAGATGGACAATCCTGCCTTAAGTAGTACAAGAATGTCAACCTTGTCAGGATAGACTGCCCAAATCTATCCACTGGTTGAGAATGTCAAATATGCATACTAATTATGGAGTCTCAGATCATAATCCTAAAATTCAGTACAAGGGTAATTCACATAAACATGCCACATGCCACATGTAATAAATTCAACGTTTATTCATAATAAGATTCAATTGCAACTCTCATTGGAGGGATGATGTGGCAATTCCCACTTATCCATTAGTTGGGGTCCTCTAGATTAGTCATTTATTCATGCAGCTCGGTTGAAAAACATTGTATCTGTATTTGATGAATGATATTTGTACCCACAAACATATCTCATGTATTGAGCAGTGCTATACATGCTTTCAAGTGTTACCTGTACTTGACCATCTTGGCAATTCATAGCAACTATTCTACATTTTTTTTGTTAGTAAAGCGGCACCTGCAAACCATTAATTTATTATAGACCCACCAAAATAAGTTCAAATGACAAATAAAGAAATATCTTCACCTTATGGGTATAACTAGTCAACACTTTACAGTTGTTTATAATGTAGGATGAAGCCTATTCTGATCAAGGATGTTAAGTATCACTTTTTTTTCCAAGTCAGAGAGTCTTGAGCTTGTTACAATACTTGAGTCCTTTTTTTTTTTTATCAGCCTACGAAGGTTCCTTTCCATTGATTATGATTCTTTTTTTATGCATTTGAGATACTCCCATCTGTTTTGTAGCATATAGACTCGTTAAGGACCTTTGAGAAGTTCATTGGTTGTAATAACCAATAGCTTACCATATCCACTCAGTTGGCACTAGAATCGTGACCTATTAGGAGCCCTGGTTTCTGGTCTCTGTAGACCCTCAACTTTTTCTGTACATTGAAAGTGAATCTTCTATGGTTATTGTGCCTCTTGAAAATTCAAATTCACGAGGATGATACCCATGCTTACTCCATTTCTGAGGGCATGCAATTTTTTTGAGTCACTAGTAATTAAGCACGTGCAACATTTTTTTTCATATTAATTACTTGAATTTTAGATATATCATAGTTAAGATATAAATTGAGAATTAATAAAAGTAGCAATATGAATAAAAATAAACTTAAGTACTTGTATTAAATTTTGTGTTCCATTTCTGTTTTAAATAAAAATAACTTTTATTTTAACAATTATATTTTTTATTTAATATGATGATTATATAACATAAGAAATGCTTTGAAATGTCTTTGACAAAACTCTGTACTTTTTTATTTTTCGTGTTTGATCTTTTTTTTTAATATTTATTATTCAATATGACATCATGAATTTCTTTGAAAAGTTGGATCATTGACCCATCATTTAGATAAGAAAATAGCTTCACTTTCGGATCAGTTTTAAATTATATATTTCATCTACATTATATAAATAATTTTTACTTATCACAATTAATTTTTTTGGCATAGTTAATATATAATTTTTTATATATATTCTTTTGATTATTTATACTTTTTATTATTTTTAAATATTTATTATTTAACTATCATATTACCGATTGACCTAAACTACTAACCCACGACCCAAAAAAAAGTTTGATTTCTAGGTTGACATTAAATTTTTTATTACATTTCCATTATTGATAAAATTATATCTTATGTATAATATTTATTTTTGTTCAATATAATGAATGTATAATATTATAGATGTACCCAATATTTTATTTTTTATAGATATATAACATTATATCTTATGTATAACATTTATTTTTGTGATTCTTTGTATTTTCTATTTTTAAAAATTTTATTATTTGACTATGACATCATTTCATTTCTAGGTTGATTTTAATTTTGACTTTGACATTCCACTTTTCATCATTTATAAAAATACTTCTTAAATTTCATACTTATTTCTGTTTAGTATAATGAATATACAATATTAGTGACATGCTCAATTCTTTTTATTTTTTTGTATTTTATATTTTATTTATTTTTTTATTATTTAATTATGGCATTATTTATTAATGCATTTGACCCTAAATGGTTGAATTGCTTACCCACCACCGAGAGGGAAGAAAATGGTTTTGTTTTCAAATTAATTGTTCAAAATATTTATTTTTATATTATTGAAATTAATGTTGTGGATTTGATCAGTAGAATTTAATAATGAGAAAAATATATCTTAAATATAGGATTTAGTAAGAGAATATACCTTAGATATGAGATTTAATGAGAGATAATAGGAAAATAATTTTACTTCCAATTGGTTTTAAATTTTACATTTCTTGTTTATCATTAATGTTTTCAACCTATTGTTGACCTGGCCGATTGAACCGTTCGCTCGGCCTTGATCCTAGGTTTGGTTCTGTTGAAATTCTCCCTTTTAGTTAAAAATTGTCTAACCCGGGTGATTCAACCATTGCCCCATTCGACCCAATAACCAGGTTATAGTTTGCACACTTAATTATGTGCAAACTTTTGGAAGCCATAACTTTGCATTCCGATGTCTGGTTGGGGTTTATTTTTTTTTTTTTTTTTTTTGAATAACTTTTCAAGATTTATACGTTCCAAGGGCCTTAGGCGTCTTGCCTTGCTATTTTTGCAAGAAACCCCTTTTTTGCCCTCAAATTGAAATTTTAATATTTTTCATAAATAAAAAATTAAAATCTGAATTAAAAAAACATAAATAAATATAACATAATACATATATTATATGTCGTAAAACATAATTATATTATTTATTGATAAAATATATATTTTTACATACACACACATATAGTGTTGACGCAGAGCGGTTTGACTCATTTGATTTGGATAGTTGAATCGATGACCTGGACCTAAGACAAAAGCGGGTAGGCCTCTAGGTTGGTTTTTAAAACATTGTTTATCATACTGATTATTGTTTAATATGTCAAATATATGATGTTAAAAACGTTCACATTTTCTTAAATTTCTATATTTTTTGCATTTTATATATTTTTAAATTTTTTTATTTAATTGTGGCAATATGGATTGGCCCATTTGACCCAAATGGTTTAATTTCTTATCACCACCTAAATGAAAACACTATTCTAGGTAGATATTAAAAGTATAATGGATTTAATTATAGAATTTAATGATGAGAAAAAACAAAAAATCTTTAAATATATGATTCAATGAAGGTAAATGCAAATTATTACCTTAAATGTTGGATTTAATGAGAGAGAATTGAATATATTGAATATCCTAAAATTACCTCTTTTCAATTCATTTAATATCAATAACCAATCATCCTATTTGCCCTCATTTTTATCAATAAATTTTTTAGAGAGGTAAGTTTGACATGCATTTGTTCACCACGTTTCAAGGATGTGCATCTTGAATCAATGACGGACATGTTTCTATTATCACCACCCCCCCCCCCCAAAAAAAAAAAAAAAAAAAAAAGGATATTTGTGCTTTGATTTTTGATCATATGAAGAACTTTTGTTGGTGCTTAATTCAACTAGATGTATTTTTTTCGGTTATCATCACTCATTTTATAAGATATTCTTCTGATATTGCAATCCGCAGCATTATAGACTAAAATTCTTTATTTTGGCAGAGCAACCAGGCGTCCTTCAGGTGGTGCCAAGTAGGACCTTACAACTGCATTCAGGACCTGCCAAGATACACTAGAACAAGTGAAACCCTTCCCTACAGAGGGACTAGCGGATCCCTTAAATAGGCTTTATATGTATAAGTTCCAACTCATCCATGGCATGGTATTTACGATATTATGGACCTGAAACTGTTCTTGATGGATTTACTCAGGATATATATGTTAAGAGTTGTGAATTGTTGACATTTAAATAAATCATAGTATATAAGTTTGTTATACAGACTTTATCTGCTATTTGCAATAGTAAAATGCCATCTTAGAAGTCCTGTCAGTTAAAGATTAAAAATGGAGAAAGTGGAATGGGGGAGTGATAGCAGGTTGATTTAGAGGTGTGCTTCAGCAAAAGCTTGGACTTATTTTTTCACCACAAAAAAAAAAAAACAGATGTTATCAGCTACAGATAATCCGTTGAGTAGCTCTATTCCCCTCCTACAAGTCGTGAGCTATCTGATTATACTGCCTATTTAGTATATTTTAAGACTAGCAAAACGCTTTTGTAGATCCACTGATTCACATCAGCAAGTTGAGGTTCAATACTTGTGCTTCACTGATTCACATCATGGGTTTGTTTGTAAAATGTATGACGTTCAAGCTTGATACAAAACTAGCCCAAGCGGGTGGGAGAGTACTCAATAAGCATTGTGACAAAAAAGAACATTGGGGACCCTTCCTTTGGATTCAATTGGAAGTTGATACAACAAGGCCTCTTGTGTAAAGAACCAAGGGAGTTGAGTTGCTTGTAATGGTGGGAGACATTGGTTTAATTTTGTTTTAGGAGAAGCTCCCAAATCCCAATGTTGTGTTTTCTATTGTGGGGTCTTAGGCCATGAAGAACCAAGATATATCAAAAAGTTTGAAGTAGCCCAAGGACAGAGCTAGGGATTTTCACTTTATGGACCTTGGTTATGATATCTCAACGACTCAATCTCCAGCAGTGGGAAAGGTGCAGTTGCGTAAGGTGCAAGACACTGGCGAGAGGAGGAAACAAAACAAGCTATTTGGGTCGAGGTATCAGGTCTGGAAATTAAGTAAAAACCATAGTTTTCAAAACCGGATCGGACGGTCGGACTGGAAAAACCGGGAACTGGTCAGGTGACTGGTTCCGGTTTTCCCTCAAACTGGATTTTTCATAAAAAATATTGATTTTGGTCAGAAAACCGTTCACCTGGGTGGTTAACCGTTCGAACAGTTTTGTCCGGTTTTTTTTTTTTTTTAATTTTTTGTCAGAACAGGCTGACTGTTTGGTTCAAACGATCGGACCGTTCGATCCTGTAATCGGACCCCTGACCGGTTCAGTCTCCGAGTCGATTTTAAAAACCATGGTAAAAACCAATATAATTTGTGAATGTGGAGCAGAATAACAAAAAATAATATCTACCAAGTGACCCTGCTAACTGGGTTCAACAGTTCAATCAGTTGGGTCATCAAGTCATTAATTGAGGAAACGATTAGTTGCAAGCAGGCAGTTTTTGGTGGTGAGATAGACTTGGAATTCTAATCAATAACTAGGTTGACCAGTCCAATTGGCCAATTCAATTGCAAGTTGAAAACACTACTATCTTGGGTGAACTTGGGCGAAAGAGATCAACTTCGGTGCTTCTTCAATGCAGCTTTTCGATTTTCTAAAAATGTATATGATAACTAGAACATGGAAATGGCTAAAATGCAAAAAAAAAAAAAAGAAAAGAATTAAATTCTAACTCATGACCCATTAATTAAGTCAGACAGGTTATTATTCAGCCAATTAGGTCATCAAATTGTTGACCAAGTCAATGGCATTTTGAAAAAAATGAAAGTTCAAAATGAGATAGACTTAAAAAAGGTGATTAATCAATTAGTACAACCATCTGGTTCAACCATGGTTTAAAAACATTAACACAAATCACAAACCTAGATTATTTGTCACAATCCAATAAATATTTGCACATTTCAAATTTAAGTAATCATATTAATTAATACTGCTTAATATTATACATATAAATAAATGTAATAAATGTTGTATCAAACACAGCCTTCAAATGAAAGAGAAAAATTCTTCTACTAAGCTATGACATGAGCTTTGAGTTTCAACTTTTAAGCTATTTTTATCAACTTTTTTTAATTTATTAGATTGCCAATCAAAATTTACAAAAAAAAACAAAAAACAAAAATCAATTGATAATTGAAATTAATAATTTTCCAATATTTGCTTTGGCAAATGCTGTTGGCCCGCCATATTGGAAACCGCCATCACTGTCCACCAGGGGTGTAATATAGATTGTTCATTGTTGTTATAACAACGTTCGAATTGAGTTTCTCCTTGAACTAGGAAATTTGGTCGAGCTATGTACCACACTGACCATGTTGATTTTAGGCCCCTTTTATGGTGGCTTGGATGCCATCATAAGCTTTGAAAATTCAATGAATAGTTTAGGCTGAATTTGGAAGGAGTACAAATGCAAATATGTAGAGTACAAAATCTTATATTTTATATGTATTTATGTTGTACATACATTTGTACTCTTTCCAAACTGAGCCTTAAGTACATTTTTGTCCTTTAACATTTTCTCTTTTAAAATTAACATTTAAAAATCAACAAGGTATATATATATATATAGTTTCTTAAAACCTTTGGGTATATATAAGTTATTAACCCTTTAACATATTGACATGGTGGAATTTAGGAATGCCAATAGGGCAGGCTCAAGGCAGGGACCAAGAACCATACTCCCCATTTTTTAAGTAACTCTTCTTTCCCCATCCTCAATCCTTGTCAGGGAGAAAAATGAACCTCCATCCCCAATGAAGACAGGTTCCCCATTGAGGACCTGAATTCCCCAATTTTTTATTTTTTTTAATTAAAATCATGTTTTGGGAAAAATGATTTACTTAAAATGAAGAAAAATACAATAATCTAAATTGGTTTAACACTTAACTATCGTCATTAAGCACCAAGGTAATATAGAAATTTGTTCAATATATGTAGTGGCATTATAGTAATTGTACATAACTATTTTCAAAATTTGTCCAATTTGGGGTTCCCTATTGGGGTGGAGACTTTACTCCCCATTCTTGTTCTTGTCCACAAACATGCATTCTTCTTATTCCTTGTCCTTGTCCTTATCACTGCTAGCTAGAGCAGCCCCATCATTGAATTAATCAAATTGAGAAGGCCATATGTGTGTAGCTAGTTTTCACACATAAGTAGTCTCCTTGTTAATAGATGCCACTTGAATAGAGAACAAACCCTAGTTTGCTGTTGTAAGAAGCAGAGCATGATTTATAAGTTTCTCCTATCCATATAATTTAATAAGGTTTAATGATAGGAATAAAATGCAATTGGCAGTTTGACAATTACTAGCAGTTGAAAGGCTGTTTGAGGGCTTAACAAGATGTCAGGTCTACAAGGCTGAATCACCAATCTAGCTCATGGATCAAGTGTACAATGCAAAGTCAGCATTGGTGCAAGTTAGTTATGTTTCCATTTTTAGTAGTGTTACTAGACAATTGTAACTGCTTTCTATTACTCATGTAAAGGCCAATATATAAGCCTCAATTAGCATGAGGATGGTTATGGAATGATAACAAATTTGTCATTTTCTCTCAAATACTTTCTTCGCTAATTCTTCCCCCATTTTTCTCTTAATTTCTTTTCATCTTCTCCTTATCTTCTTCCCGTTTTCATTCTTAGTTCTTTTTGATCTCTAAAGATTTTGGAGTTGATACACAAGTGTGTATCAAGTGGTATCAAAGCTCAATCTTGGCATCATTGCTTGAGAATTTTAAATTGCAGCAGACCAGTTAGGGCTACTAGGGGCTAAGAAGATAGGAGGCTCAAGGAATCCTTCAAGAACTTCACTCGAGAGGCAAATCAAAGGCAAGATCGAGCATATGCTTGAATTGCTAAGTTAAGCGAGAGGTTCGATAGATCTTTGGCTAAAATGAAGGAGTTACTTATAACATTGAGCTTCCGGGTTCAAACCATTAATACTCAATAGAACCAATAGATGAACATGCCACAACAGAATCCCTTCACAAGGATTACTCAAATTGTTTTTCCAAGATTTAATGGTGATAATTTCAAGGGTTGGTTGTACAAGGTGGAGCAATTCTTTGAATTTGATTGGATTGCAATTGAGAACAAGATCAAAGTAGCCTTAATCAACTTAGAAGGTAAAGCCCTACAATGGCATCAAATGTATGTTAAGAGTAGGGGGTTAAGGGGTTTATTTGTTTGGGAGGAGTACTTGAGAGCTATGAATGAGAGATTTGGTGAACAAATTTATGATGATCCCCTCACTAAGCTCAAGAACCTCAAACAAACTGGTTCTCTCCAAGATTACTTGGATGAATTTGATCAATTATACACTCAAGCAAATGTGATTGAGATCTAAGCTCTCAGTTTCTTCCTTGCAGGCCTCAGGAAGGAAATGGCCAGGTTACAAGAGGTTACTAATGAGTCAATACTTGCAATGGCCAAGACTCTCCTCAAACCACAGTATCAGTCCCTTCCAAGGCCTCAGCCTTATGTATTAACGAAACCACCCAAATAGGCTTTATTGCTTGGGCCCCCATAGCAACCCTTGTTGCCAAGGCCATCACCACCAGCTTCCTCAGCTAGAAACAATCATGTTGGAATCCTACCATTACCTCATAGTGCACAGCCTCTGAACAAGGGTAATTCCAGAAATACTAGAACCTTATTTAGTAAGGAGTTGGAGAGAAGAGCCAAGGGGTTGTGCTTTACATGTGGTGATAAATATGAACTAGGACATAGGTGTAAGGGAAAACAATTGTATTCCATCAAAATTGCTAAAAAAGAAGAAGGTGGAAAGGTATGTGTTTACAACTGATGTGTTGATACTTAGTTTAGGTGGTTCTGACCTAATACTTGGAATACAATGGTTGGAAACACTTGGTGATATCTTTTGGAACTTCAAAACCTTGAGGATGGAATTCACCTTAGCTGATAGACAAATAGTATTGTTCGGTGAGCAAACTGCAACATTGGTGGTAGTACCTAAGAAAGCCTTGTCTCAACAACTAAAGAAAGCCACTCACAGTGAATTGGTTCAGTTCCTTACCATTCGTGTCAAGAGCAGGGAGGAATCAACTATACTTCCCTCAATTATGTAATTGACAACAAGAACTTCGGTAATCCCTACATTCAAATTAGAATGCATATTAGGGATGAGTATAAGGTTGCATTTAGGACTCATGATGGTCATTATGAATTTCTTGTCATGCCATTTGGCCTTTACTAATGCACCCTCAACATTTCAAAGCTTAATGAATGACCTATTTAGAGCTTTCTTAAGGAAGTTTGCACTAGTTTTTTTTTTTTTTTTTTTTTTTTATGACATACTAGTGTATAGCCCTTCCAAGGAACAACATGTGAATCACTTTAGGCAAGTACTTACCATGCTTAGAACTCATACTTTGTATGCCAAGATGAACAAGTGTAGCTTTGGCGGTATCAAGGTCGAGTACTTGGGCAATTTTATCTCTATAGATGGGGTCTCAACTGATCCAAAGAATGTAGAAACAGTCCTTAAATGACCAACACCTGCAAAAGTTAAGCAATTAAAGGGATTTCTAGGCCTCACAGGTTACTATAGGAGATTTGTAAGGAATTATGGTCATATCAACAAGCCCTTAATTGCTTTATTGAAGAAGAATGGGTTTAAGTGGAATGATGAAGCAGAAGAGGCTTTCCAAAGGCTCAAGCAAACTATGGTTTCTGCACCAATACTTTGCTTACCAAACTTTTCCAAGGTTTTTGTTATAGAGATAAATGTTTCAAGTCAAGGAATTGGTGTTGTTTTGATGCGAAGGCCACCCACTTGCATTCATCAATAAGGCACTCTCCAAAAGGCACCAACAACTCTTAGATTATGAGAGAGAATTGTCGGCCTTGGTTTATGTAGTTGAGGTGTGAACACTACCTCAATGGAAGGCACTTTGATGTGAAAACTGACCATCAGAGTTTGAAGTATCTATTGGAACAGAAGATCACAACCCCTGGACAATAAAGATGGTTGATAAAGCTACTTGGATTTGATTATGAGATCTATTATAAGAAGGGAAGAGAATATGTAGTTGTTGATGCTCTTTCAAGGGTGCACAATTCTGAGTTGTTTGTTTTATCAGTATCAAGCATACAATCTGGCCTCTTGGAGGAAATAGAAGCCAACTGGGAGAAGGATGAGTGTCTCTAGCAACTCATTGCTTCTGTCCAAGAATCTTAAGTTTCTTCAATTACCCTAGACACAGTATTCTTGGGAAAATGCAATCCTTAAGAAGAAGGGGAGGATAGTTGTGGGGAACGATCCTGCTTTAAGGAAGAAAATCATTCATCTGATGCATAATACACCAATTGGTGGCCATTCGGGTGTATATGCTACCCTCAAGAGAATGCAAGTAGTGTTTTTTTTTTAGCAGAATGGCAAAAGATGTGTGGCAATTCATCAAAACTTGTAGCATCTATCAAATATGCAAATATGACCACTCAGTAACTCTTAGTCTCTTGTAGCCTCTCCCAATTCCAGAAGGTGCTTAGCAAGCAATAAGCATGGATTTCATTGAGGGTCTACCAAAGTCACAGGGCTTTGATGTAATTTTTGTTGTAGTAGGCAAATTTCTATAGTATGCTCACTTCATGCCCCTACTTCATCCCTTTAAAGCTTCTATGGTGGCTCAATCCTTCATGGATCATGTCTTTAAGTTTCATGGCTTATCCAATTCTATTGTGAGTGACAAGGATTTTGTCCTTTTGAGCACCTTCTAGTAGGAGTTGTTAAGTTGCAAAGTGTGAACTTGATGTTTTCATCTTCTAACCATCCTCAAATTGATGGCCAGACTGAGGTGGTTAATAGAAGCTTGGAGACTTATCTCAAGTGCATATTTTGTGATCAAGCTAAATAGTGGGCTAAGTGGCTCTCTTTAGACGAGTGGTGGTATAACACAACTTTTCATACAACTACACGCACTTCTCCATTTGAGGCCTTATATGGGTATCCTCCTCTTATCCATGTGCCCTATTTCTTAGGAGATTCAGTTGTAACTTCTGTTAATCAACAGTTGTAGGACAAAGAGTCAATGTTGTAGCTCCTGAAATATCACTTGACTCAAGCTCAGAAAATGATGAAGACCTTGGCTGATAGAAGAAGATTTGAAAGGAAACTTGACATTGAGGATTGGGTTTATGTGAAGCTTAAGCCTTATAGGCAAATTTCTGTAGCTTACAGAGACAATCATAAGCTTTCTCCTCTTTATTTTGGCCCCTACGAGGTGCTTGATAAGGTTGGTGAGATAACCTACATACTGGACCTCCCAACTTTTTCTAAGATTCACCCCACCTTCCACATTTCACAATTAAAGAAGATTGGAACTCATACATCTGACACTGAAGTTCCTGCTTAGTTCACAGAATATACTCATCAGCCTACTGCTATTTTAGCTAGGAGAATGGTGAAGAGAGGCAACTAGGCAGTTACCCCAAGTCTTCATACAGTGGAGCCATAGGCCTAGTTGTAGGGCTGTTTGAGGGCTTAACAAGGTGCTAGGTCAACATGGTTGAGTCACCAATCCAGCTCATGGATCGAGTGTACAAGGCAAAGTCAGCATTGGTGCAAGTTAGTTACGTTTCCATTTTTAGTAATCTGTTACTAGACATTATAACTGCTTTCTATTACTCATGTAAAGGTCAGTATATAAACCTCGATTAGCATGAGGATGGTTATGGAATGATAACAAACTTGTCATTTTCTCTTGAATGCTTTCTTCCCTAATTCTTTCCCCTATCTTCCTCTCAATTTCTTATCTTCTTCCCATTTTCATTCTCACTTTTTGTTCTCCAATTTTTCTGATATGACAGTTGTTTTTGTTTTCAAAAACAAAACCAACCTTATTGTTGAACATCCCTTATAATATTGCTAATAACATGGAATGAGCAAATGGGAATTTCCGATATTTACACCTAGTTACAGAAAGACAATTTATTGTGGTTACTACCACATACTTGATTCCATCATTCCCTTTTCTTAGTAAAATACAAACACTTGAAAGTTAGAACACTAGCTGTTAATTGCTCGTAAAAAATTAGAAACTGTACAACACTTGAAATCATAGCATTTTCCACTTCAAACATGAAGCTTCCAATTGGATGGATAAGAAGTTGCATTAGTTGGAATGTACAAGGAATACAATTCGTCATTATTTCTCCGAATGTTGCAACAAATAATGCACAAGATTCTAGCCTCTAGAAACTTCCTATTGATTCTTCTTTAGCTTTGAGGTGGAAGGTGAGGATCTCAAATCCTGAGAAGTTCTAATTATGAAAAGAAGTGTTTCCAGCAGCATACCACCCACCAGTCCAAGGATACCTCCAGCAGCATTCTACACATTAGAAATAGGAGCAGCACTTGTCACCAATATCACTTTGAAATATCCAATATGCACAGAAAAAAAAAAAGAAAAAGAAAAAGAAAAAACAGCACTTAATAGCTGAAGGCCCACTAGAGTTGTAAATTGGTAAAACATTTCCAAGAATTTTCTGAAAGTTACCATGATAGGACTGTGATTGAACAGAGCCCTGAAAGCAGCATATCCAACCAAGTAACCAGTAAACATTGTAAGAACAACATGCAGTCCTGCAAAAATTTAAGGCTGGCCTTGTCTTCAAAGCTTCCAATTGGATAAATAAATCTTAAAAACAAATGAGAAGCTCAAAAATAAAATTACCTCACCAACTGACACAGTTAAAGGAAAAACAAAGAAAATATCAAAACAGCAAGGACAAGCTTATAGCAGAGCTAATGATAGAAAAAAGGAAAAAAAATAAGAAAGAAAAGAAGATAATAGCAGACTCTGACTCTAAATCTTAGGGGAAAATAAGCTTCATTAAGTTGGAAAAACAATGTAGTTAATAGCTGCACTGTAGTAACATTTTGCAGTTACAAACTACCATTATTACTTTGAATGAAGCCGCATGTGTCACAAGTCACAACTAGAGAAATCAATGTCATACTTATATCATAAAAAATGCAGTATATGGGTATTGATGGATAATAAGTCAGATGAAGCATATTGTTACAACAATTATTAAATATCTATGTAAGTAGCTCAAAAGTTATAAGTGACAATCCCAAGCAACATGGTGGCATCAGCAAGTGACTAGTTGCTGTCAAGAGATGTTCATAGCACTCAAAAATGCTGTCAAATAAATTTAGTCACAAAGCCAGAGTTTATGTTGTTTTGATACTGGAAAACAATAAACATAATGACATGTTAAACAAAAAAAAGGCTTTTTGTTGGAAAAATTGCAAGAACCACCACCACAAATCCAACCAAGTCAACTTGGAAAACAACAAACACTTCCATATTACTGACTTTTCCCCATCAACTTGGATTGAAAGGATTTTGTTCTCCTGTTCTGAAGATATCAATTATCATGCAAATTATCTCTTCCACCTTTGCATTTAAGAGGTCCAAATTTCATTTGAAAACCCTCATTTTTCCTATGCTTTCTTTCCCTTAACTTTTATTTTATTTCATTGTTTTGGTAAGTAACTGTAATATTAATGATTAAAAACAGTAAACAGATACGTACAAGCTTTCATACACCTCAGTTACCAAAAAAGAAAAAAATTCATGTACCCCAAGCTAGGATAGTGTCTTCCATCTATTAGCCCATCTTTGCATCCACCAAGCTGTCACAGTCACCTCTATATTCCTGGCCAGCCACCTGGTTCCTAGAGTTCATTTCTATACAACCACATAGCCTGCTCATGATGCTTCAGCCAATTGATCACCACCTTTGATGATTAGTTTTTCCACATTCATTTCTCTAGCCAGCCTTAATCCTTGAAGAGCACCCAAAAGCAACACTCAAATAGAGTCCTTATCTCTTATTGTACCTCAGAACATTGCCTTCATTTTCCATTCATCTCTGGAAACACCTCACTCAAGATGGGCACAGATTTCCCAAGCTACTGCCATCCAAGTTGAGCTTTAGAAAGCCCCTATGAGGTGGTGTCCATAGTTTTCAAGGCACCAAGGAGAACCTAGGCGACCAGAGAAAGTTGACTAGGTGAAAATTAATCTTTGACTAATACTTACCATTATCCTCATGAAATAGGTATAAACCTCATAAAAACATAGAAAAGCAACATATTTATGAGAAGAAAAAGAAGAAAGAAAAGAAAACATAGGTGCTAATCCCTTGTTTTTATCCTAGGAGGAGGAACAATGATAATATAATAATAATTCCTTGGTATCTCTTGTATGCTGTTTGGATAAAAATCTTTAAGTTCTTAATTTATTGATTCAGGTATTATTTTTTGAAAGGTGGAAATGAAAACTTTATTAATCTGAAAAGAAAAAGCTATGGGAGAGATTCCCTTAAAACAACAGCATCAAGAATAACCAGTGCAAACATCACAAAAAAACACCAGAGAATAGATCAAAAGACAAAGTTTTCATCCCAAATGATTCTAAAGTCAAAGCCCTTGAACAGGCTGTGGATGGAAGCCCATTTCACCAGAACCCTCTCCACTTTGCCACAAATCCTCTCAACTGGCAGTGATTGATTATGAAAAGTCCTGTTTCTTTCTTTCCAAACTGACCGGCAGATTGCTCCAGGTGTCATGTTTCAGAGGACCTTTCCCCACTTTGAAAGGCTGTCCAAGCTCCAGGATGAGAACATTGATTCCAAATCTTGGGGAACAGCCCAAGAGACCCCAAATAGGTTGAAACAATGAGACCAAACTGCGGTGGAGAACTTGCAGTGTATGAGAGTATGATTCACATTCTCTGCTGCCAACCCACATAAGCAACAATGGTTAACAATGAGCCATCCCTTTTGATTGAAGCAGATCAATAGTTTGAACTCTTCCCTCACAACCAACCACATGAAAAAAATCACCTTACAATGGATCTTCAATTTCCAGATCCAGCCCCAGGCCACCGCTGATTTGAGGAGTAACCAGATTTTTAAACATTGATTTTATTGTAAAACAATTTGAACTCTGACTTAACCACCCTAACCCATCTTCAAGATCGGGCTGAGCCTGAGGTCTTACTCGGTTACTCCTAACAGAAGCAACAAGTTTGAGAGATCCTCCAAATCCCAGTCATTTACTTTTCTGTGCAACGAGGGATCCAAACCTGCTGTCCGCCTAAAACTTCATAACCTCTGATCTTGGCAGATTTATTAGTTGCAATGTATGGCATAGATGCCTAGAAAAACTTGGCTTAGGGGTAGAGAGCCACACCACCTGTCTTCCCAAAAATGGACTCTCTCTCCAATTCCTATTTTGAAGGTAACAAATTTGAAAAACTCCTCCCTGTTCTGCATGACTCCTTTCCACAAACTTGTGCCATAGGATTCATTTACAGGATTTGTTTCCCACCCCAAGTCATTTTCTCCATACTTGCAACTTATAATGGATCTCCAGAAATCCTACTTTTCATGAGCAAACCTCCACAGCTACTTTGAAAGAAGAGCTCCATTGATCTGTTTCAAATGTCTTAAACCTAAACCACCTTGGTTTTTTGGCTTACAAACTTCTGTCTAGGCAATCAAATGAAACTTCTTCTCTTCCTCTCTACCATCCCAAAGGAAATCTCTTTGAAGCTTTTCTAAAGAGCTAGAACTGAAGCAGAAGCCACAGAGTGACAAAAAATAGGTAGATAGATTTGAAAGAACACTCTGAATCAGTGTTTGCTTCCCACCCTTTGAAAGATAAAGCTTTTCCCAACCTGCCAGTTTTTTTTTATCATTTTTTTATCAATTCCCAACCTGCCAGTTTTTTTTTATCAATTCCCAACCTGCCAGTTTTTGCTGGACCCTCTCAATCACCGGATCCCAAATCTCTTTGGATGTGTAATTTTCTCCCGAAGGCAGCCCTAAGAATTTGGAAGGGAGGAAACCTGTCCTGCAACCCAAGTCTTCTGCAAGGTTTGCAATGTTTGGGAATTCACCCACAGGTATGGATTCACTTTTCTGGAGGTTGATCTTCAAGCCTAAAACAGCTTCAAAACCAATCAACAAGCAGCTCAAGAAAAGCAAGTTGTTGGCTGCCAGCCTTGAAAAAAACCAATGGATCATCGGCAAATTGAAGTGAACTCACAGTTTCACTGTTTGTTGCAACCTTAAAACCTTCCAAGTGTTCCCCCTCCACAGCTCTACTTACTATCTGCTAAGAGCTTCCACCACAATGATGAAGAGGAAAGGGATCACCTTGCCTCAGCCCTCTCTCAACAGCAAAGAAGCCTTTAGGGATACCAATCACCAAGATGGAAAGATTCTCTGTTGATAGACATACTTCCATCCACTTTCTCCATTTGACCCTGAAACCCATTCTTCTTAGGAGATATTGCATAAAACTCCACTGACGTGGTATAAGCTTTCTCCATGTCTAATTTACAAATACTATCCAGTGACTCAGTTTTGAACCTTGAGCCAATACATTCGTTTGCAAGCAAAGAACCATCCCAGATCTGCCTCCCATCTACAAAGCTCCTTGGGATGGGGAAATAATATCTTAAAGGGTTCAATATTACGTCGCCAATTTGTGCGAATCCAAAAACATAAGAAAATAATAAAAAGTAACTTATATAAGATTTATAAAAAATATCATAAACCCACAAAGTTTAATGTAATAATATCTATTGTAAAGCTATAAAGTTACAATGTCATAAAATAAAAAAAAATACAAAAATACTATGTAGAAAATAGCACCTAATACAAAAAAGATGCAGGTGCTTGGTTGAAGCTACCCTCCAAGGGCACCTTGTCACTTAGATGCCCACCTAGACATCACCTTGACAACTATAGTAATTCCACAGCCTTGGAACCACAACCTTTATGGAAGAAGTTCCAACCACTTCTCCCCATTTACAAAAGACATCATCAATTGAGAAGGCTTAAAAGACATCAACAGACTTGACCCAATGGCAACTCTGAAAAAAGGCATCAATTCCGAACAACAATCTTCCACTCCAAAATTTTCTCTTATCCATAACCAGCATTCCTCCCAAACCTACAATCCAACACATGATTCACTATTTCATCACATTCATTACACAACACACAACCGCCACTGCCCACCATCATAACCCTCCTTAGCAAATTACCCTTTTCAAGCATCTGTTTAATGCAGCTGTCCACACCAGGAATCCAACCTTCAATGGGACTGTATAATACCAAATTTTGAAGCCAGAAACGTGCTAGGAATTGTGCCCACCAGTCACTTATAGAAAGAACTTGCTGTAAATGATCCTGATGCTTCCCACCTCCAAACCCTTGTGTCCTCCTGATTAGGATTTGGCTCAATGTACTGAAGTTGAGATCTGTGGCAACTCGCAGCCATTAGGATCTCTTCTAAATATGGGTTGCCAAACTACAATTCTCATAAAAGTTGGGTTACACCACTTGCATTCTGAGCGATGCCTAATGCCTCCAGGTAGTGGAACACCTCACATCATGCCTGTGCGTTTTAGGACATTTATCTAAGTTAACCAGGATGAGGTTCCCTCAAACTAAATACAAAATCCGCTCCCCCCCCCCCAGGACAGAAAAGGCTAAATGAAAAGATACTACAAAAAGTTTACTGATTCCATAAGACTTGATCACTTATTAATGATTTATAATAATCCACAAAAAGAATTCTAAAAATAAACTGATCTTGCGTCATCCACTGAACTCTTTCAGAACCCTGGCCCACTCAATCAGACACCTTTCTATCTTCCCAATCAACCTCTTAGTCTCTAAGGCTGATTTATTAACGGCACCACTAACCAATTGCCATAATTTCTTTCCCCTGCTACTAAACATCTTGGCTGGTCATGCCGCAATCAAAGAGAGCAGATCCCTTGGAAACACTATCACTACCTTGAACAGTTACAGAAAATGGCTCCATATATAGTAGGTAACAGGTCACCAGATTAACATATGAGCTACATCTTCCACCTATGATTGACAGAACCAGACATTGGTTAACAATGGTGATACCCCTTCTATTTAAGTGATCTATAGTAGAAATTCTGTTGATAATTGCAAACCATACAAAAAACTTCACTTTCAGAGGCCATTTAACTTTCCAAATCAACACCCATGGGACTGCTTCAGCATTTAAAGGAGCCAAAATCTGGAAAAAGATTCGACTGAGAATTACCCAAGGTTTCTGGAGACTAGAGCATAATATACTGTTCATTTGGATTCAGATTAAACTGCTGCAGCAACTCTATCAATCTCATGAACTCCACAACCTCCCAATCATTTAGGCTTTGCCTCAGCTTTGGACCCCATAGCACCTGACTCCCCAGAAGTTCAACATAATCTTTTTTATCAATAGAACTTCAACATAATCTTTATTCAAGGCATTTTTACTCTTAATCAACAAATAAAGAGAAGGGAATAGCTTATTTAAGGATTGGTTTCTGAGCCAAGGGTCTTTCCAAAATGCTATCTGATCTCCACTCCCTGGTCTGAATTTAATACTGATATAAAAAGGCTGATTCATCGTTGTTATTAATCCAAGTATATTTAGCCTCCCACCAGTGGGAGATCCACCAACTCCCACCTTTCTTTAAACTCTGCAAACTCCCTTAACCTTTGCCGAGTATCTAATAGATGAAATCATTTTACTTATTCTGTTATTATAATATAAAGAGAAATTTAAAGGATTTTATTTCCATAGTAAAGTTAAAAATAAGAAAGAGTAGCAATGAAAATGTAGAAAGCAGGTGGGAAAAACTAATAATATAAACCTTACGCGAAAATATTCTAAATGTCAGCAGTTCATCCGAATTTTAATGGCGTCCAGTTATTGAAAATAACAATTCGCTATAAGAATTAATTTACTGAACTTCGAGGATTCAAAACATGGATATTAAGCCTGATAATGCTGCAAAAAAGGATTTAATTTCAAACAAACAAGTAATAACCATTGAACAACAACGAAAACAAGATCCTTTTTTATAATAAACGAAAACAAGATCCTTACCGAACCCTAATTGATCTTTGTAGGATGAGAATGGTTCATTAGTAGACTTCTCCGGCGTTATATCCTTAACGATCTCTTCATAAGCCTTTTGTTCTGCCAATTCTTCAAGCCTTCTCAACCTCACCTTCAACTCTTCACTCTGAAATAAATAAACAAAAATGCCATTTCAGAACAAGAAACAGAACCGGAGAATAAAAATTTGGGGCACTTTTTTTACTCTCTTTGTCAATCCCGCAATACCTTCTCCCTGGGTTTGGGGCTGGAGAAGACGAAATCAGAGCCCGAGAAGAGCTGAAGAAGCTTAGGTCTTGTGGAAGAGGGAGATGCAAACCAAATAGTCCTCAGTGATTTGTATGGAACAGAGGTCTGAGACAAGAGATTGGAAGCAGATTTTCGGAGCTCGTCGGTGAGATTTGAATCCTTGGAGGCCGACCGTAGGAAAGAGCGGATGGTTTCACTGTTGGCGATGACCAATCCACCTGAACTTGCCGTCTCATCCGTTGTCGCCATATTCCCAGTTTTCTCAACCTAGGCTTGTGCACCAGAACAAAAACGGAGTCACTCAGACCTTTTAGTTTTGATGTGTAGTCACTCAACTCTACGGGCAACAAATTCTATTGAACCACATCATAGAGGACATTGTCCATGGACTGTAAACGGATCGGATTCGGATCTAAATGAAAAGTGAAGTCCAAATCTGATCCGTAATCTGATCGAATTTCGATTTTAATCCGCTTTTGCTTCATTTTTTAAATAAAGAAAAAAATTAAAAATTTATTACATTTTAAATTTTATAAATAAGTAATTAATATAAATACAAAAAATTGAATTTCTTATCTATATAAAGTTATATGTAGTATAATATAACTTTTATATAAAATTGTACTTTTATATTTTCTATATAATTATATAAATTATATATATGTATATATATATATATTAAAATAAATATATTATAATGTAATCAATTCGGATCTTAATCATATTTGGTGGAGTTAAATCGTAAAGTCCAAATCCAACCTGATATCATTCGAATCCGGGACAATGGCATCAATGTTTGATAAGATTTCAGACTTTTAGAGTCCTTAGATAGCCCTATATACAATATTACCTAAGAGCCCATCTCAAACCATGGGCCTCTAATGATGGTTTGAATTAGGGGTGGCAATGAATCAAGTTTTTAGGAGCCGTTTGAGCTTGGCTCATGAAAAACTCGGTTTGGTTTAGTTTAAATCGAGTTTTGAGTTGAGCTTGAATCCAATTTATAGGGTTGTTTACTAATTGAGTCGAGTTAAAGCCTAATAAAGCTTGACTCGTGAGCCTAATCAAGCTTCTACATACACATTCATACATACATACTTAAATATATATAATAGTTTTATTCTTATATATAATAATAATTAATTATTATAATTATTAATTTTTTAAATATCAAATAAAAAAATTATTTTTTATATATAGTTTTTTTTTTTACTTTTATAAAGCATTTGATTCAGTCAACCTCGAGCTTATGAGCTTTTGACTCAAGCCAAACTTGAGCTCAAGTCTCTAGCTCGAATAGAGCTTAAGCCTCATACTGTCTTGGCGAGCCAAGCTCGAATAGCTAACTATTCGGCTTGACTCGGCTCAAATCCATCCCTAGTTTGAATAGGCCCTTGAAATGGATTATTATATAAAATAAATCTCAAATTTCATCCTCACCATTTTAGGCCCCATTTGGCATCTTATGTAGAAACAATTCTTTTGTTTCTTGTGTTTCTCATATTTCTCTAGATGAACCACATTTAATCAACATATATACACTAAAGCAAGAGGGAACTAAGATGCATGGAAATGGAATCTAAAATGGGCTAAGTATCTTTTTGCCACACGCAATCTAAAATGGGCTAAGTATACACTTCCTACTTTTTGCCACACGCAATCTCCTAATTTTTTTGCGCTTGACCAAATTTACCTATAAGGTACACATGGGCCAATGCCTTGGTCATAATGATCCCTTTTCAAAGAAGATAAATGATAGTTGTGAGCTCCAAGAAGCTTATGGCCAACTCAGAGAAGGCAGCGTCACCACCCTTTTTTCAAAGGAAATGAACCATTGTTTCAGTTTCAAAAATTGATTTTATTTCCTTGATAATGACATCATTTTTTGTAGAAAAGGCAATTAACCAAGAGATTTTGGATTCTAGAGGCAGGTGTTAAGCACACCTCTCTCTAAGTTGGTGTAGCAGCCAAATATGAGAGTTTTTCAGGCTTAATTTATAACAAAAGATTAAAAAACTATTGCTAAGAATTCCTAAAATTTGGTAAAAAATGCATCCAATTTCTCCGAGAGTGATTTGAGAATGCAAGTTTTCTCAGGTTTCAAAACTTCAAAAAACCTAGAATTGAACTAAAAAATAGAGATTATGAACTTGAGCTAAATGGTAGAGTGAGAGGCTTACCTCTCATATGTAACCTTAATTATGGAATTCCAATAGCAAAACTGAATAAAAGGGGTACTTAAATGAGCTCTTGAGCTCGTAGTACACTTCTAGTCAATCCTTCAAGGTCAAGAAAGATCTGAATTTGTCGAAGGCTTGGATGTTTTGTGTAAATCTAAGATCAGAAACACAAAAGGCAGATTTGAATTTTAGGCTCAAATGCTTAGATTTCTCATGAATGGAAGCTCTACAAAGGTTGCGAATACTTCTAGGATCTCTTCCTCTTTTTTCTCCCATATGAAAAAATCCCCTCTAGAGCTCGATTTATGTCCTATTTATAGAGATGGAAGGATGGGGATTGTCTTAAACTCATCTTCCACATGTCCAAAGTTTCAAAAAAGCCTTAACATGCAAGGAAACATAAGAAACTTGACTTTAACAATCTTTTTAGAGGGTCTAAATAATAAAATCGAGATTTCAATAAAATTTTTTGGGGTTTCTCATGTCCAATGGGGTTATTTTCATATATTGTTCATGCCAAGTTCGAATTTGACTTTTCAGAGACATAAAACATAAAATTGAAGTGATTATATTCACTTATGTGTTAATTTTTATGTTTAAGAAGGTATACTTTGGTGTTTTTGGTCTACTTGACTTGTCCTAATTAATCTAATGGGCCAGGAGGATTAAGTAAAGGGCTGACATCAGCCTTTACTCTTTTGAGTTCCTAGGTTGGGACAGATGAAGGGGGCAATTTAATCCAGTGCATCAAAAAGGAATCTGATAATTAGCACTAACCAATGATATTTGCTAAAATGAAATCTTAGCTTAATGGAGGGTCAAATGGTGGAATTTTGGGATAAAATTTGGTGAGTAAGAATTTGTGGATGTCCTGAATCTGATGAAAGTTATGAATGTTTGATTAGATGTGTGGATTGAAATATTTGGTTTGTGTCCAGGTTTTAGCTTATGATTTATTAATCAATGGGGAAGCTTGAAATAGAATCTTACTTGTTTTAGATGGAAATGGAGAAATTTAAGGTTGGTCTTGGATGGGTGGATTATTTTGAAGATTTTGAACTTAATGAAAGGTGTTTGGTTGCTTGGGCTATGCCTTCTTGTGCGATTTGATCATAAATGTCAAATAGAATCTTTGGTAATCAGATAGTTAAAGAAGGGAATTTTTAGTTGAAATTTGGCATGTAGAAATGGATTGGTATATATAAGGAGTAGGGTGGATAGTTCAGATCTGAGAAACAATTTTTTTTATCTTGGTTGTCTCGTTCAATTCATCTAAGATTATCGAAGTGGAATCTTGGAATTTTTGAGGTTGATCGTCATAGATTTAAGGTGAGATTTGGGGGTTGATTGTATCTTAATGTCCTTGAGTCAATGAAAGTGTTGGGTTTGAATTTGTGAGGTCAAGGTTTGAACATTGTGTGAAAAAGAACTATTTGAGAGAAAGTTGGTGTGATAAATGATAGATCATTTTTGGAGTTTGGTCATGAAATTCAATGTGCAATTAAGTTTTAGTTTCCTATATCTAGGGATTGTATTTGATCAGGCATTAAAGCCTATATAGTGTCAAATGTTGTTCTCATTAATTTGTGTAGTTTAGATGAGTGTGACATGCAAGAAGAGATTTGTGTTTGGTTATGTTTTCAAATTTTAGGATCTCAGCAGAAGGTGTACAGAGGTAAGGTGAGGGAACCGAGCAAAAATTGGGTGTTGACAATAACGTGTCTCAATTTCATTGGTCTTTGTCATCTCTCTTTTCACTCTGTCTAGTTTGATATTATCTTTCTCTCTCTCTCTCTCTCTGACACCTCCCTCCATCTAACATGAAGTATTTGTCAAGGGTTCAAGAATCTTCTTCGAAAGGGTTCTATCACTACTTAAACCAATATTCTGTGTTTGCTTTGGGGGGTTTTAGCTTGAATAATCTTCTTACAATGTCTTTAGGTTAAATGATTGAGGATTCTGTGAAATCTACATCTATAGTTCCAATACAATGTTTCTTACATCACTTTGGGGTTTCTTCCAATATGCAGGGGTAAAAATGGATTGGACCATGATCCAATCTGATCTGAGATTCGATCATATTTGATCAAATTCAGATCACCCCAATTTGAATCTTTGGATCAGATTCGAATCAACCCTAATCCGGTTCGAGAAGACCCTATGTGATATATATGATATATATTTATTTTATAAAAATATATAATACACATATATATGTTATTTATTTATAAATATATTATTTATATTGTATTTTTGAAAATTTGTTATATCATTTATTTTTTATGAAAAAGATGTAAATTATTTTTTAAAAAAAAAACAAATAAGATCGGATCAAACAAAGTGATCTCTGTCTTCACCATCTCTATTTTGTATTAGAACTCTTATTATTCTTGCTTGTTGTGGCTTATAACTACTTATTTGTTGTTCTTACCTGTCCTGAAGTGCTTATTTTCAAGTTTGTACAAAGGGGCTTGTTCCTATTGATGGTATCCAAATTATTTTGCTCAGATGTGACATTTTCTTTTGTTTTTTCTTAATTTGTTTTGCTTTTTCATTGTTTCTTAATTTGTTCTCTTTGCACCTTTGCTCTTCTTTGTAATCACTTGGAGTTGGAGGTTTAGTTATTTCATGACAATTGATGCATTAGTTCTATACTCTTGCCTCTTGATTTTATAGGACATGTGTCATTTTTAAGGTTTTCCAAAGTTTGTAGGTTATTGAAGTCATGCTTTTTCTCAACATTTTGCTTGTAGTTTTCTTGAAATGTTTATACTATTTTGATTTTAAATCTTCTTTTTATCAAGTCATTAACTTCTTCACAAGAAATTCTTTCTTTATCTTCTCTTTTCTTTTTATTAGTTGATGTGATTAATTCTTACATTTAATATCCTTCTCTTATTCTATGGCATATATCGGATCGTATAGTTGTGTTGTTCTTTTATATGATTGTTATATCATTATGCCATTATATGGGTAATATGATTATGAATCTGAATTCTATGATCATATCAGTAGGCATTTTAAAAGTACCAAATCTTATTGAGAAAAAGGCTTCACCTGTTTGATTGTTTCATTCTTTTTCTTTAGATGAACTTTTTTGTGGATAGGTCTTAGATAGGTATAAAACCAGGGAAATATCTA